GGACTGGTACACTGCTGGATACCAAAATGTCCTATTGTCCTCTGTCTGATAGGGGAGGTCCAGGAAAGCTAGAGTATAACTGCATTACAAACCAAAAGGTGTGAGAACTAGAGTATCCAGTGGTATAAGTACAACTTCAAGTCCAAATACAGGAAAGAGGGGTGCCAGGATCCAGGGACAGAAGATGCGCCTTTCAACTCATGCTGAGAGCAAGTTCACCCTTCCTCTGCCTTCTTGTTCTTTTCATGCCCTCAACAAATCGTGTTATGCCCAACCACATTCATGATGGTGGTCTTTATTCAGCCTACTAACGCAAATGTTCATTTATTCCAGAAACACTCTCACAGACACACCCAGAAATAATAATTTGTCAGTTCCTTGGAAATCCCTTTGCCACTTGAATTGACATAAATTAATCATCACAATTTGATAAAAGGAAGACGTTTCCCAGAGAAAAAAATAATTCTGCAATGAAATGAGCATAGGGCACTATCTTTGGGCTGCCTCTTTCCTCTTTTCTAGACTTCACTTATCAAATTCTCTCCATTGTTTCAAAACACAACCCTAACTACAGCTCCCCATGGTGCCTCCTTCCCAGCTCCCACAATGATCTCAACTCATTACCTTCACTCTCACACTGTTTACCTCCTCCATGTTATGTTGCTTATTTCCCTTATTAGGCCAGCTTCCACACATAAATTATGAACACACTGAGAAGCTGTATCTCCTTGTGACAGTCAGAGGTATCCAACAGGAAAGAGATGGCACAGTCACACCATCTCATTGAGGAGATGCTGGTAAAAGTCAACATGAGATGAACCTACCACTTTCTGGAGTCATTCATATCAAGAAGCTTGAAGGGTAAGGAGAGATGTGCCAGAAAAAATATATCTGTGGTTCTAACTGCCGCTAAAGCGGAGGGAGAGAACTGTTCAACAAATGGTGTGGCCTTAAAATTAGCAGTGCACTGTTGTTCGTGACCAGGAAAGACAGAGCAGGGGATCAATTATCTTGACCCTCTTCCCTCCTCATTCCTGATTTCCTGCTAGATAATTATTATTGATCAGACCCAACCAATTGTCAAAAGCATAGAAGGATGGAATGGATCTAAAGAGGAAAAAAATGGCAAGTATATGCCACATCCTCATAGCAGTTTTTAAATGATGTCTCTTGACTGAACTTAATGGGTGTCTGGAAGACCATTTACTGTCACGATTGGGATCCAAACCTTCAAGAGACTGAAGAACGAATTGCAGGACCTATGCAGTCTTTCCCACTTGTATGAATCTATCACAATTACACATCTGTTAGAGCTAAGGATTAAGTATAGTTAACCTTTTGTCCTCCTTGGGGGGCAGGGAGAAGAAAGAGAATACCCTGAGGGAATTCGTCATTCACAAGGGGAACTGTTACTTCAACTATGCTTAAAAGAAAAAAGTAATTTTTTTCTCAAAATTAAAAGAGAATATTTGCTATTAAAATGTGAGATGGTAAAAAGATAATTCACTCCCAGCCTTCTCATCAGCTGTGATAGCTAAGCACTATCACAGCTACAAGTGTCAAATAGCTATCCATGTGGCCCAGGGGATGATTCTTGCAAATCAAAAAGCACAGTGTGAAACGCTGAGTTTTTCTGATCAAAAAGCATCCCGGGGAGGGCTGAACAGCCTTGGGTCAAGAAGAGGCCTTGATTTCTGGGGTGATTTTTATTGTTATCAGAGAGGACTGCACTTACTGCAAATATCCAACTACGTGGCACATTCCCACCACCAGTGGAGGCACACTTGTAGCCACTTGTCTTTCTTGCTGGGTCTTTACCCCCTACACTGAAACATATTTTTCATTTCAGTTTCACTTACCTGTCACTTCTTAAAAAGGGTGATTTATCAAGTAAAAAATCATCAACATCAAAGAGGTTTCAGCGTTACCAGGGGACATGTATGCATGCTTGTACACACACACACACACACACACACACTCTCTCTCTCTCTCTCCAGTGCCACTTCCAGAAAGCAAAACTGTAAGGAACACAAGCTCATATTCCCCAATCAGAGCTTTTTTTCAGTGTCTGGACTGTGAGTTTCTTTATTGTGTGGTTCTTCCAGTCTAAAATTTTAAAAGATTTCGTGAGGGAGCTGTAATTTTATTCAACACTTCATGACTTGATTATACAAAATAAAAGGTGTTAGAAAGTTAATAGTACGTTACTCTTGCAGTACATTATGAGGAATTTTTTTCTTACAAAATCTGGAAGTGGAAATTACCTCTGGGTCTCCTAACTTTCAACAATATGGGTCATGACGATTACTGCAGCAGAATTTCAAGACTTAAGATCTTAATATGTTTCTCTTTTCTCCACTCAGTATTCCAAAAGGTTATCTTCTCTTACTGGGATATTATATAATGAAAGATAAAAACCGAAGTGAAGGGCAGGAGAATTGTGCTCTGTTCTTAGTTGTATCCAAGTTGTGACACCTCAAGAAAAGCATATAATCTCTCTGAGCATTAACTATTCTTTTTGCAGTGAGGGGGCTGGATAATTCATTCCCAACTTAGCATTCTATGATTCAAAAAATGTTATACCATACTATATAACACCATGCCATATCATAAAATAAACATGCCTTGGGAACAGTCTGTTATACAGTTCCAGGTGTTTTGTCCTTTCTTGTATTTCCAGCAACCCTTATCTAGAAGCATCCCTATTTGCTCCTTGCCTAGTTATTTGTGTGGTTTCAGCATGACGCCAAAGACCGAAGACTAGGGCAGTGCCTTGGATTCAGGTTCTGCACAGGAGAGTCAGCTTTGATTCCATCCCCCATTTATCTCATTTCCTGAGAATCACAACAGAACTCCTCACTCAAAAGGTTTTTAAATGGTTCCCACTGTCCAAAAATGAACTCAACGAGAATAATCTTGGTATTGTCCCAGCATTAGCATTATATATGAAGAAAAAATAGCATAAGATACAGGTCAAAATTACAGTCATATGGCTTAAGTTGTATAATGTTGAACAGCATTTAGGCAGCCCATACTCGGCCACATAGTCACAGGAGAGCACATTCTTTTTCAGGATCTCTCCAATCTGGATATGCAGATGGAACTCTTAATCTGCCTCTAGGAAGCAAGGAAGATATTTCACTAGTATAAAAACTCTCCTAAGCATCATTTAAAGAAATTTAACAGGATTAAGTTTCTTAGGAGGTGCCAAGCAACAAGTTCTCATTTTCACAGTATTCTTTTATGCCATAAGTCAAGAAACAGATTCACAGCCCCCACAAGATTTGGGGTAGAGCCACACGCTAATGGGAATGCAAGCTCGGCTTTCAGCTTTCAGTCAGCACTGCTAATATGACAGGATTTGAATTATGCTCATATTTAAGGTTGCCCCTAAGCAAAATTTAAACGTGGGCAAAGATTTCATTAGGTCCCCAATGCTCTCATGGTAATCTACTTCCTCTCTCCCACACACCCCAAAGCCAGCTCTGCACTCCAGCACTCGGTGCTCCGCATCCTAGTTTACCAATTCCTTCAAAAGAATCCTCATCTGGTTGACATTTGGGAATGATCCAAGTCCTTTTATGACAAGTGCTACTGCTAACACTTGAAAGACAAAAGTTTAGTAGACTTTTATAGCGTCCTTGCATATCTCCAGGAACTGAGGCAGAATTTGGAGCCTGAGGGAACAATCAGTAAGGATGTTATTTTTAGATAAACAGAACCTTCTCTGTGCTACTCACATCATACTATTTGGGCATCTCTATCTCCACCCAAGCAGGAGATATTGGCATGTTGATATGTAAAAAGCATTTTCATCTGCAAAGGAGTGGCTGAGAAATTATCTCTTTATTTCAAGTTTCCTCAGAAGCTGAAAAGGGAATAGACATATAAAATGTGTACGAACATCATCTTCACCCGATTCTGTCTGGAAATGGCAAAATCTAGGAAATGTGATGAAGTCACATGTATTTGTGGGAGAACACAGGCACTTAAGTTGATTCTAATAACAAGAGATGGACTAAACACAAGTTTAATGCAACCCTTTTTCTCAGTTCCTAGAAACTTACATCAATGAACAGTGTGTGAGGTGGAAAATGGTTATGGTGTAAATAGCTAATCTATACCCCGACAGAGCAAGACTACTAGCAGCAGATTTAGAAAAGTATAACTGATTATTTCAACAAATCAACAAATATTTTATTGGGCACTTACTCTGACCCAGACTCTGGAAGAGGCACTGCAAGTCCACAAATGAATAAAACACATCCTTTTACAGCAGACTTAAGAAGGAACCAAGCTAAATTTCTATTTCAGTTTATGAGCAAAAGAGAAAAGAATGTCTTGCTTGATTTGATTTCTTGTTCTGTCATATGCATTACAGGCTAGAAGAGGTGACCCACACATCTTAGCTCACAGACTGTGAAAAAGTGGCCAGCCTTCAGAAATCAGGGTCTTAGTCTATTTCCTGGGACTAATCAAATTCTCATAGACACAGAAGCAAACCCAGCCAGGTTAATGATGTTCATCATCATTTAAACTTTTAGAAGGAAAGTTTATGAAGAATTAATTTACATACCTACAAAGGTCTCAGAAACTTTCTTCACTCTTCAATATCTGAAGATCTATTGAATTCTTATTCAACGTATCCCCAAAGTTAAGATAAATGGGTGATGGAACAACTATATATAGGTTCACGGTTCGGCACTGCTGTACAGTAGTGTTTTTGTATAGGTTAAAGTCTACTTCAGCTGGAATTAATGTAATTATATATAATGTTGACAGATTATGACATTTGCCTATTAAGACACTATATAAACATTCCAATAATTTGCTGGCTTTTGAGTTTATAAAAAATAAATGAAACACAATCCCAGGGGATATTGCTAATGGGGTAACTGGAATAGAGGTTTCAAAAGCACAGAGTTCAGGAAATAACAGTCAAAGAATAATGCATTTTAAGCCAAAACATATAGAGTGGTAAATGAATATTTAGTACTTACCACGAGACTGCTGTCTAGAGACAGCCGTTTTCCAAAGTCCCTTTTCTCAAGCTGTCTCTTTCCCTCCATGGGTGAAGTTATTTATTTTCCTTTGTGATTTATAAAAATTCCCCTTCTGTTTCCAGGGTCACTGCAAAAAGTGAACATGTGTTTTACTATCCAAGTGAATAGTGTTTAGATCCTTGTTTTTAACTTTCTAACCAGGAACAAGTGTTGCAGCCAAAAATACTCAGGTCCAAATAAGAAGTATAGAACTGGGCTCTCTCAACTCAAAAGATTTCTCTGGGTTGCAAATGTCAGAGTTGTCTTTATGGAGGCCCTTGTGTTTTTATAGGTTTTGCTAATGGAGTTGGGGAATGGGTTTGCAGGTCAAATCAGCAGACTATGGAAAAAAGCAAACAGTCCGTTTCATGCCACACTTGCTGCACACCCACCCTTTCTCTATCAGCCAGAATCATTCTGTTACTGTGCACATATATGCTGTCTGCAAATTCCATAAGTTCAAACTGACAAAGCCATACACCATAACCAAGCATTGCTGAGCCTAAGGCCCAGTGAGGGGAGATTGAAACATGAACATTTATTATCAACATTTAATTTAAAAGTGTTTGATTTAATATTTGAGAAACATTATAAGATACATTCCCTTTGGGACATGTTGATTCACAATGAGTGGTAGATGACATTGTTACTGTCAATGAGTATGTATTGGAAACCCACTGCATTTTACCATATCAAATAGAATGAATCCCTGCATTTCACTAATATTATTTATACTAGGATGACTAAATAATCTAGTTGTATCATACATATTATGACTGTTTCATATCTATTAAGCACTAGCTTCCAGTTTTTATCAAGATGTAAAAGGCTTAAAATAAAAGAATTAGATGAGTCTAGATTTTCCTCCCCATAATTAAGTGACTTTGTGCAAGTCATTTAGCCTCCATAAATCTCCTCTTTTTCAGCTGCAGTGACAGAGAGCAGTGGTGATTGATGATGTAGGTAAAAATGGTTTAATGAGAAGATGGTATAACTCACATGTAAGTTATATTTACTCACAGATAAGTTAACCATAAATACTGGTTAACAATATGTAATGTCTTTGATGATTCACAAGGAACTTTGTGATACATAAATTGCTCATTTTCTGCAAAGAACACATAGCCATTGCGCTGTTGGTATAGAAAAGCTGAATTTAATAAAGTGCTATGCCTATCAGTTTTTAATAAATTTGAAAAGAAATATTGTCACAACTTGCTCCAAGTCTTATATGGATGCAACAGACACGACCTCACATCCCTCACAGCATATGGCCTTTTTCCTGGTTGCCTCCCCAGAAAGACGCTTAGACTACTGTGCCCCAGCCAGGGTATAGTCAGTTATTCCTTTCCAGTCATAGGCTTTCTCCTCCATCTTCAACTTTCCAACTCTCACTTTCAGTAAAAACACTAATTTTAATTCATTACCAGTCCACTCAGAAGCTCCTGGGAGTCCACTCTGAATTCAGGATAAAAATCAAAATTTTTTAACATCATGTTCAAGGCCCACTTTCTGCCAACCAGTCTCTTATGATGCCTGAACACACTAAGAACATTCTTGAGACCATGCTTTTAATCATACCTCTCAACTCCATCTGGTCTATTCCTCCCCTTGCTCCAGGGCCTGGCTCAGATCCCATCTCCTTCCCAAGACCTTTCTAGTCTACTCCATTTGGCAACAATTTCTTTCTCTCCCAAGTTTTCTAGAAGTCCTTAGGGACTTACCTTATTAATTACCACCATCACCTGAAATAGTTTTTCACTTATAATATGCTCAATCTTTACTTCTTAGCAGGATGCTCAATCTTTACTTCTTAGCAGGATGTAGCAATGAAAATTATACCAAAAGTTCTTTTATATTATCATTATACGGAAAACTATTAGTCAAATGAACTTGGGGGTAAGGTGCGACCTTATCTGCTTTCTGTGATCACCATGCACTTTGTAGCTCCCTTCTCATCTCAGTGACAATGTGCACTGATAGCTCAGACTACTCTCTATAATGATGACTCCAGTTAGAGAGATCAATCAGGCCCCTATATGTTCCCCTCTATCAAAAACTTGCCCCCCTAAGCCTTATCTCAAAAAGTCTTGATGTTTTATAGGTCACAATAGATCATCTTTTGGCATTTTGCAAATATTTATTGCGTGCCTAATGTCCAGAGGACCTGTAACTTAGATGTTGGTGACAGCACTATGTATAAGAGAGGCCATAACCCTGCCTTCATAGAACTTACATTCTAGTGGGGGGCGGGGTCTTAGAGAATAAGCAAACAAACAAATAATTAACTCAAAATGATAATAGGTAGATTCTAGGAGGGAAGTAGTTCCCTTTCCCCAATAGATGGCATAACAAAGTGTCAAGAATGTGAAGGGAAGACAATTCTAGATAGAACTGTAATGGTTAAGAGCCAGGCATATACAAAAAAATACATGGGTGGAGATTATTTCAGGTAGAGGGCCAAGTCTGTGCTGCGAGGGAGTATGAAAGGGGAAAGGAAATGTGACCCAATAGGGGACTAGTTTCTTAGGAACAAAGTTGAAAAAAAAAAGTGAGAAAAATTCTGAGATTACACAATTACACAATCTAAGTTCTGAGATTAGCCACAATTACACCATACACGGTCTTGCAGGCTAAGGTAATTTGTTTGTTTTAAACACACTAACTAATCTTAGAATTTGATTCTCTACTCCTTACCAGATGATAATGTTAAACAAGTTATTTATCTAATTTAAGCCTGAGTTGGTACAACTAAAAAATGGCATTAATAATAAGACTTACTTCATAATAGAACCATTGTTTTGTTTAGTGAAAAATTCCATTTAAAGAGTTTTGCCAGTACCTAGAACATAGCAGGCAATCTTTAATATTAGGTATGTTGATTTTCCCTTCAGGTAAATGTGATTAAATTCATTAAGGAACAGTTCTACTGACTGGATTTTATACTCCATAATAGGCTGATGAGGCTGTCATTTTGGGAAATGGAGGTCCTCTTGATAGTTCTCAATAACCTGTGTGCCTAAGTGGCTAGTTGATTAAACTGCTTAACCAGGTCAAGTTTATTTCATACATTTTGATAGACACAGACTAACATTCAAAACATTTAGCAACTGATAAGGCACAGGTATTAACCAATTATTATATGAGCACAGTCTATGGCTATAAGCAGGACAGCTATAGAAATGTATCCTGCCAATTATCAGCCTAAGTATATGAACTATCTCTGTCTTCCAAACAAAACAACCCTGGAAAGAATCAGAGTAAAGTTATCTAAAAGGATCAAAACTATATCAACCAGAAGAAACAAAACACAAAGGGAAAGCTAGCAAGGTGTACACTTACACAACACCTCTGGCACTGTAGGAGAAAAATTGCCCACATTTACTTACCCAACAAGGACCACAGCCTAGAGAAGAAATGAATCAGATCCCTAAGATGCTCTGGTACTAATAGTGACCATTTGTATCAACTAACTAACTCTCTTGCTCAGAAACCACTATCAGCAAGCAGTCTTCCAAATGCATTTCCATATATTTCTGCTTATATAAAAATGTGCTGACAAGCAAATATAAGAGGACCATCCTTTAAAGTTAGATTTCAGTTTAGATTTGCAATTTGGCATCTGATTCTTTATAATCATTATTTATGTATTGGATTAGTATACTAGTCAATTTGTACTACCATAACAGAATATCACAGAGTAGGCGGCTTAAACATCAGAAATTTGTTTTCTGCCTGAGTTCAGGGGCTAGAAGTTCAAGAACAAGGTGCTGGCAGAGTTGGGTTTTGGTGAGTATTCTCTCCTTAGCTTGCATTTGGATACCTTCTCTCAGTACCCTCACATGACCTTTTCTTTTACCCACATGCTTCTGTTGTCTCTTCCTTTTCTTACATGGACACAAGTCCTATTGGATTGAGGCCTATACTCTTATGACTTCATTTAAAATTAATTATAGCCTGAAAGGTTCTACTCCAAATATCTTCATATTGGGGATTTAGATATCATCAACATTTGAATGTGGGAGGACATACGTCAGTCAATAAACTTAGTTTTAGTTAGATTTCAAATTTGACCACACTTCACTGTCTTAATAATAATTTCCTGAGTTTGAAAACCTGAAGGAAAAATCTGAGGGTAAGCTGCAATGCCCAGACTCTTGCCCTTTGATTCTTGGATTTTACCACCCCCTGCTCTCCTCCTCCCTATGTTGCAAGACTAGAGGTGTAAACCAAATTATAAAGGATTCTATTGAGTTGGACAGGTTGGATTCTGTCAACAGTGAATGTGAGAGGAGAAGAGAAGGCAACAAAAAAGGACAAGCCATCTGCTTCAAACCAGTTAAGCAGCATCAACAGGAGGTAGCTATAGTCTCCAGTAACTTCTTTGATTCCTCTAACTAATGGGCATAAGAAAAAGCTGTAGCCTCTTCCCTGTCTTGGAATACCACAATCTTATTACTTTTGCTCCTCTAATCTTTCCCCCAGTTTCATAAAAATTTCCTTATATTAAATACCTCTCTGTTTGACATATCTACAATAGTTTCTCCTTTCAAGGCTTGATGATGATCGATGCACACCCCATGGAGATAACTTTGGACAAGCAGCCAGCTATACTTGGGCAACCCCTGGCTTCCTTTTGTGACCTTTATGAATAATGCATGGAATTAAAAGTTTTAGTAGAGTCCATGAGGTCAGGGACAGTAGTTGATTCCCCGAGGAAGAATAATACCTGAGGCATAGCAATACGACAGACACTCATTGAACACTTGTTCATATGAATAAATGGATGTTATACCTTTGTAAACACAGAAAGAACAGAGCAGCAATAAACATTGCTAAAACAAACAAACAACTATAAATTTATTTATAACTCTGAAATTACTTATTTATCCAAACATACATAGAAATACCCAAATCTCAAAGAAGACATTTTGTCATGATTTTAGAATAGTATTAACCTAAAATTATTGTTTATACACTGCCTACACCAGTAGCATAGCAAGTGCCATAAACCTAGTCATATTCGTGTCTTTGCTATGACTTCTCATATCTCTGAGCATAAAGAAAGCACATTACTTCAAAGTGATT